GGGTGGGTGGGGGAACTTCAATCTAGAGTTTTGGGGGAATTAAAATTTGAAAAATATTGAGAAAGAAAAGGGGGCAACACATAGTGTATGGCTATGCCCCTTTAATCATATTGGCTACCATTTATTTCATTCTTTTCAACTTTTGTTAATGTATTATCTATTCACAATAAAAAAATAAATAAAAAAAAAAACTAAGGTTTGATGTGTAATAATTATTTTTGAGTGACAATTTATTGGTTTGTAAGCAACTTTTATGGGTATTGGTTTTGGATTACCATTGCAAATGTGTGATTAATTAAGTATTTATTCATGATATAATTGTAGGCAAAATTGCATTTAAAGCCCTGTAATTAGGGGTGTGTGGCAAATGTGGACAACTTTTTTTTTTGGTTTGAGAAAAGTGCCCTGAAACTTGTTAAACGAATTTCGGGTTTTAACAGGTTACTGTCATGTTCTGCAACACGAAACACCGGTCAAATCCGGTAACTTGTAGGTAAATTGAACAGGAATTCTAGGTTTTAACAAGTTTTGGGACACTTTTGCCAAACCAAAAAGAAATTGCCCACATTTGTCAATAAGGCACAAAATGCAACTTTGCCTAAATTTGAATGTATTGCATCTAATTTAGTTTTTAGGTCTCAAGCAGGAGTGATCAATATATTATCACGGAGTTGTTATATAAATATATTTGAGAAATGTATCAATAAAACCAATTTACATATTAGGCTCTCCAAAGAATTTAATCTGTAAAAAATTCTATTGGTTAAAATTTAATGCAATCAGAATAACAATCTAAAACAATTTTTTTTTTAACAAAAAAAAAAAAATGTGTTAGCTAGCTAGCTAGCTAGCATGTTGTCTTAATTAACCAAATATCAAAGTCTTAATTAATAAGTAATTAATCAATTAATTAATATATTTGCACCTCACGTAATTTGTTCCTATATACCATCACGCCTGAATAATTAATTAATCATAGTTTTCGTTAAACAAACAAAAAATCTAAAACTGGATTACATGTATACACACATTTGTGTGTGTGTGCATGTGGTTAGGCAGTCTAATCCAACTAATTAAATATATTAATTATTTTCTTGCTATAATAATAATAATAATAATGATATATAAGTTGTCCTCTATGTTGCTTTTCGGTGCCTCCCAATTTTCTCCCCACCTTTTTTCAAATGCTAAAGGTAGGGAATATAAAAAAAATTAAACAAAATTTAAATAAAATTTAAATAAAAATTAAATAAAAATATATATAAATATTCCTCCAATCCCAATACTTGAAAATGCACTCTTTTTTCCACTTTTCAAGATACGGATATTATAGTGTGTGGCCTCACAACAGATGAATGGGCAGACTTTTTAATCAAGTGTGTTGAAAACTTTGAAATTTTTTGAATAAAAAAAAAAAATATATATTTATATATATATATACACACAAACACAATTGTTTTATATGTGCACGAAAAACAAAAATATGTGAAAACCATGTTTATGTATAATATTTGTTTGTAATAATAATAATAAATAATAATGGGTATAAAAAAATAAAGGCCTATTCCCCCCTATCTGTCTCTTTATTATTGGGAACTGTCGCTCCAAATTCCCACATCGTGTAAAACCACCAACTGATAACTTTTTATCCTGTTTTTCTGTGAGGGGGAAATATGATATTAAAAAAATTGAAATAAAATAATGCTACTTAGTTTGCGCATGATGCCTGATTTTTTTTTATTTATTTTTTTATTTATTTATTTATTTATTTTTTTGTATGAGGAAAAAATTTGTGATCTTATTGCATGATTACAGGCTTTTTGGACTAAGAATCAATGTTTTAAATATTGAATTATATACTTGATAAGGTATCAAATAATGTAGAGTTATCTAACGTTGCTGTGTTTTAAATTATGTGTATTCAATTATCCGCTCATGCGTTTTCAAGATTTTATATCTTATTGTTTCCATTTTATTTATTTATTTATTTTTTTTTTTTTATTGTGCGGATGATTAGGATTTCAGGTCGGATCCACTAATTAGAAGACTAATTTCCAAGTAGACATGGATACGGACCGGCCCAGCGCGGTAGTGACCCAGGATTGGTCCAAACCGGCCCGTGTTTAATTGGCTTTGAACCGAGTCTGTAGTTTGATCGGGCCAGTACTACATATTTTTAATTTTTCAATTATCGAGCCGATTTAGAACCTGTACAGGATCCAACGGTTCAACCTTTTTTTTTAAAAAAAAATAAGATTTATTATTTTTTATTTATTTCTTTATTGAACCGGGCCAGCCGGTAATTGGCAGTTCACAGAACCAACCCAAAACCGGCCGTTCACAGAATCGACGCGGAATCGGCCCGTGCATATGCTCGACCTGGAACTGGCCCGAAACCGACAAATGGCCATATATGGTTCCAAAAAAGCAAGTTCGAGGTCTTTCATGAGTCCCTTTTCATGTGTTTTTCTCCTTACGAACCAATATTCTTATTCAACAAATCCGTCTTAAGAGTGTGTAAAGCGCCGAAAAAATTCAACGACTTAAACACTATGACACTCAAGCTGGTTTCTGTAAATTCCAACAAAACTCTAATATTTATAATAATTGTTATCGACAAACCTTGTCCTGATATATATATTTCTATAGGCAATTCTTCGAATTTATCTTTGTTACTAAGATACCTCTCAATCCCTCACCTTTTTGGGGTGTTGTTTTGTTAAAAATAAATATAAATCTTTGTTACCAAGATCCCTCTCAATTTAGGTAAGATCCTCACAAAGTTCTTTCCATATATGAAAATGTTTATTTCCTTGTAATCTCTCATCGCATAACTACTCAAGTCAATCCACCAAATCCCTTTTGTACTCCATAAGCTCATATGTAATTAGGTTGTCCGAGTACCCTAGCCATAGTTGAACTCCCGTATTTCTGCTCGAGGTCAGATAAGTCGACCCACACTGCGAGTGAGTTCTAAACACTTCTCAACGGTTGTTCGAGGTCGGATAAGTCGATCCACACTCCGAGCGAGTTCTAAACACTTTGGCCGATTTGAAAATCCATCATCTAAGCTACACCAGTTTCTTAACGGACATACTCCTAAATCAATATGTGGCTATGTCCCTTTACCCTACGATCGAGTTGATAATGATGTATAATTCTTAGGAGTTGCCTACATTATCTTTGTAACAAAGCCCCACCCTACAAATATGTTGAGGTTGGACAATAATATTTTCTTAATTTTTCTATTAAATAAAATTGTAAAATCTAATCAGGAAGATAGGAACTATTGAACGGTGACAATAGAAGCCACTAACTTTACTGAATAAAAAATAAAAATACACAATATCTCTTAAATACCTAATTAGAATGCACAATCAACCCGACGAGATATACTACATATAAGTTTCACCTATCGTTTCGCAGAAAAAAAAAAAAAAAAA